AATAGAACATGTGGCAACGATTAGATAATCCTATTCTTTAAAAGATATAAATTTTGTGCATTATGAGTTATAATATATACGAAATATAATACTGTTAAGTGAATCTAGCCCCAGAGTGTCGCTATGATAAACAAATACTAGAGTGAATTTTAAAGAATGCATTTATTCTATTGTGGTTTATGCGCTGTCGGTGAAGTAGATTTAATTCAATCCAATAAGTTTAAATGAAATGCAAGAAAAAATGCGTATAATTTAATATTCCGCACAAGGAAGTCATGTGTTGTACACATCAGATTTTTTACATATGTGATATTAAAAAAAGACTGAAAATACCCCTTTGTGGTACTATTATGTATATTTCTTTAAAACCTCCTTAGTAATAATATCAGAAAAGATGAAACTACTAGTTTCTGAAAGAACTGTTGTAATAAATCTATGTATCCGATCTGTATTCGAAGAACCCACAAATGCATAAAAATCTCTTTATTTGCAAAACTCGAGGAATAATGAATGTGAGAAATTTCTGCAGAAGATCTTTGTCAGCATTTTTCTAAGCTTCATTCGAGCGTCATTTTAGCTACGTTTGCATAAGAACAGACTAAGGACAAAAATGATGGAATGTGTTCCTGAATGACTAAAATATTTTAAAGAATAGTTTTATAAAAATGAGTTTTTTTCCTCATAATTCACTTGAATTATATAACAATAATTTAAAGAATAATATTGCAAAATGTAACTAATAATAATCATCTCTAAATGTTATTGCATGCGAGAAATTATTAAAAATATACAATCGAATCCAGTTAAGGATTAAAACAAAGTTTGCTTACTATAAAATAATGGAAAAAATTCTATCGCAAACCGTCAAAGTAAAACAAAATTGTCCATAGGAAATAGGAAATGCATAACAAAAATGTGTAGCCTAACAGTGCTGATAATAGATTAAGTCATAGTATTTTTCCGATGTTTTTTCTTTACATTTATACGTAATTTAACGGTATGTAATTCGGAACATATAAGCATTGTTAGATCATCCATTAAAAGTAAATTCCTCAGTTTTACACAATAAACCAAGTATTCAGCTATTGATCTTCTCTTTTATATTCATTTATATCGAAGTACAAGATAATTAAAAAAAATCTGATGGGAACACTGCATGGCTTCCTTCTGCTACCTATTAAATTATACACATTTTTGCTACCTTTCATTTAAATTTATTTCCTCGAATTATATAACTTAATTAATCGATCACTTAAAGCAAGCTTTTTGTCGTACGAGAATAAAACTTCTAATTTTATTTTCTCATAGCGGATATAAAACTTTCCCAAATATAAGTGTTAGAACCGGGAGACGGTGTAAAAGTTAAATTTCGTTATTTGTCGAAAATTACCTTTTCCTTAATTTGGCATTGCCAAAACATGAATATTTTCATCATTTAAAACACTTCTGTAATTGACCAACGAATGCGGAAATAAAAGCCCGGTAAGGGAGTGCGTATATACTATATATAATATGTTTGCTTCTGAGTTGCAATAAAAAAGGGAAGTACACAACTCATTGTCATGACAGTTCCGTATTCAAAATTTTAATGTTCTACGGCTAATCGGTTTTGAGTAATGTGAAATACCTAAGTACAGACGTCACGAAAAATACCTTTCGAATCCATTTTACAATCTTTTTTGGATAAAGGACTTGGTGCAAACGGCACGTACAAATATCACGCAAAAAATCGTCCAAATAGATTCAGGAACGTTCAACATGGATATTTCGATTGAAATATGATACCCGATTTTTTTTTCGCGATTACAATATTTCTTTTCGTACAAAGAAATAACAAACAACATCTGTACGTTGAAGTAGTGAAGAAATTTAGACAGAGATCACGAAACAATTACCTCTTGAAAACATTTTATAATTTTGTTTTGAAAAAAAATCTGATGTATATCATGACATGTGGTATCATGATATCTGATGTATATCATGATACCACATGACTTTCTTGTACGGAATATTAAATTATACGCAATTTTCCTGCATTTCATTTAAACATATCGAATTAACAGTTAACGAATTTTGAATTAAGTCTCATTCGTCGATAGCGCATAAACCACAATAGAGTAAGTGCACTCTTTATTTCTATTTAAGTTCTATTTAAGTTCTCTATATTTATTTACCATAGCGACACTTCCGCGTTAGGTTCACTTAACAGCGTTACATCTCATTCATTTTATAACTCAGAGTGCAAAAAAATTATATCAACTAAAAAATTATCACAAGTTCTATTCAAATACTATAATAAATCTAAAACGATGTATAAAAGAAATTAAACAAATAAAGAAGAAACAGTTTTTCACAGACGATTCAACGCCGCTTACCTAGTGCGCATGCGCTAAAAATTAATTCAGTTCCCACTTTGCGGCAAGGCAAAAATACATAAAAATTCCAATATATTCTTTAAAAATTGAAAGATATACAAAAACAAAACATCAAATACAGTTACAACAATTAAAAAAAAACCACTTTTGCAATTAAAACTACAGTTTCTGCCACAAAACAAGGTAATAACTTAAATGATAGTTCCAGAATGAATTGAGCATAATTTAATTCGGAATAATAAAAGAAGACATTACTTTGTTGTTGCGGAGCTTAGTTTCTCCAGATTGGTAACAAATCCACTATTCTGCTAAGTTTCAAATGTAAACAAATATAGATGCCATGCTAAACAAAAATTACGGTTAGGTGCACTTAAAAAAACTTTTAAATTGTTGATAATTCCACAATTATTGCATGTTAACTAAAGGCATTAAAACCTTAACGGAAGATAAGAACCACATAATTCAATCATTTTTAAAGCAAAAAATGCACAATTTTCAAACATATAAGAATAAAGAAACTGGGTTCACTGAGCCGAATAACAGAGTGGATATATATATATTAATATAAGTTTAATGCATCCGATTGCAACCCAAATGGGAAATGCACATCTACATATTACAGCAGTCATATATACAAAATTTCAACGTTCTGAGGTTACTCGTTTTTGAATGATGGGAAATACATACGTACATACAGACGCCAAGAAAAAAAAAATCTCTTCAGAATTAATTTTAAATCAGTCTTGTATTTTTTTGGGGAAAAAGAGTCCTTTATTCTTTCCTTACGTACAGATGTCACACAAAAATATTACTGAATTGCATTTTATAGCGGTCAAAATTGATATTTCCTTTGAAATATGATACTCAAAATTTTTCGCGATTACAATACTTTCTTTTTACTTCGTACAAGGAAGTAAAAAGAGTCCTTTATTCTCTCCACACGTAGACACCCCCTCCCCCAAGAAAAACAAAATCCTTCAAATGGATTCGGGAACGTTCGAAATGGGTATTTCCGTTAAAATACGATATTCGAAATTTTTTGCTATTACAATAGTTCCTTTACTTTGTGCAAGGAAGTAAAAAAAAGTGTTTATCGTTAACATTTAGCAATAAAGCTCATAAACAAATTAGATTTTATATATAATATTTATAAACATAGAATCGGAATAGATATTTAAAATTCACTGTTATTCCGCAACTTCCATGTGTTAATATGGAATTTGCTGGCCATATCACATTTTCTCCTATATATGTTTATCATTTATAATTTTTTCCCAAGTTTTGAGTTTGACCGGATGGCAACTCTGTAAAACGGGATTCCGCCTCTGTGTTCAGTATAATCAGATTCTGTCCATTAAGGATTCAGTTTCATTCTTGGTGGATTTCTTATTATTACTTTTTAAAATATGAAGCTCTTCTCTGTAGATCGTGTTCTGGTGACGCTGAAGCTTTTCTAAATTAATTTCATCAGTGTGAAATTAAACTTTCCGCATGTAATCGAGTTTGGCTCAGTTACTTTGCTTTGAAGTTTTTTAGCAACCGAATGTAGTACTTTCATAAGTTAATGTTATTTTCCAGGTAATTTTAGTTTACTTTTATAAGGTAATTTTTTCATTTTTTTATTAATAAGGAAATTTTATGTTCCAATTTATTAATAAGTTAATTAGCTGTGTTTAAATATACTCATATTTAAAGACTATGTTGCATGCACACAAAGAAAAACCATGAATACGCCCATGCAATGCAGTCCGTTTGCAGAGACTTGAAGCCGGTCGAAATACCGGTGTTTACGGTCTTGATTGCTCTGCGTCTAACTTTATCAAAGCATTAAGGTCAATAAAGCTCCGATAAAACTGAAATTAACCATACCTTTCTTTAAGGTTTTGTGCTAATTTTTACGTTTTAATTTTTGATTTGTTTAATATCCTTTAAGTATACACTTTTGTTTAAAAATTTAGAGTACTTACATATTATCCCGTCAACTGTGGAAATGGCGCAAGCAGCGAAATTGAGCGCCGATTATGGATAATCGTGACATGACAGCACACTCGTAATATCTGCGCTTTCGTCGGATGAAACCCTGAACGTCTGATTCCCGATAAGCCACCTTTTGTTTTTATGAAAAACATTAACTGTTACTGCTGTGTTTTTTCTTGCATTTTGAGAAAAACTTAAAATCCTGCTTGTACAGAACATCAAGCAATGGATTATTTTCAAAGTTTTGAAATCTTACCATTAAAAAAATATGTATTAATGGACACACGGTCAGGTGAAAATGGCCGACAAAACAGAAATAGATTGGAAAAGTTCCCTGCAAAAATGTTTTACTCTCTAAACATAACTTCAGGTATAATCAGAAAACTTAAGAAAATAGTAGAACGCCGTTTTTACGAATCAGAAAAACTAAGCGGGTCGCTTACAGTTTGTTTATTAAATTAAGAAGGGTCACTTTCTTCAGATATCCGCAGGAATGTTTGGCGCAACTTTGGATGGATCTTCGCCAGTTTCCATAATTCGATGGTAGCCAACTTTCATGACCACCGGGCTAAAACTGAAGTACCAAATCTTAAAAGAGTTTTCTATTTTTTCTTTGAAACTGTAGACTGACTCAAATTATTTCTTTAGATGGAGGCATTCTGGGATTCACAGTACTGGAAAAACCCACTTCCCGTTCTTGACCTTCAAGGAAATGATATCTGGAATTCATCAGTAAGTAATCTTTCTATTAAGTATGTATTTTATAGCAAACATTATCTAAGTCCAAATTTCGGTGATTATTTTTTCTGAATTTCTGGACATTTTTAAAGACTTCGAATATCAAATTTTTCAGTAAATGTAGAATAAATCGGCAAATTTAAAATTCTTCTATATTTTTTAACTTTTATCAAACGAGCAGCATTTTTAAGGCAAGTTTCTTTAAGGGTTTAGTTACACAGTGCTGTGTTTCTGGACATGAGACCCCTGATGGTTTGAACATTAATCAGAGTTTTTGGATACTCTTCTTTTAGAACTTTGCCGCCATTTATGATAACCAGCTATTCATGGTTGTTTTCACTTTATTATTGCCTTAAACAGTTTCAGCCATTTTCATACGTTCAAGGGCTGATGGGCGGGTCTCATAGGGGCGGCCAATTTGCATAAATGTGCCGGTAAGTTGACAATTTACTTAATGACTGTTTATGTTTTGGCAAACAATTACCGGCTTGCATTAAGATGCTGGCGTCTTCAGTGACAAAGCGAAGCTCTGTATTCATCGGTGCTTACGAAACTTTTCCTAATTTTCGACAGCCCCATCCGACCTTGTTGTCATTAATGTCATTGTCGCTACACACCTCACGTAACTGGTGGTAAATAGGTGCAGTTTTCTAGTTTTTTTTTCCATAGTTATGTATAGAATTATTGACCGTATTTCACAGCATTTCACATTTGGAGGACAACCCGGTCCCCCCTTGTCAATGAAGACCTTATGTCGGTGGGACGCTAGATTTCCTTAAGCATTTTAATTTTAACTACGAATCATGCAGATAAACTACGTGAATGCTTATAAATGTACCAATGTACAGATGAACGATGGATGGATGGATCTTGAAAAATATCCTACATATATGTTGCATTATTTTTGTTAAATAGTTTTTATGCTATTTTCCATCAATTCCTCTGAAAAAAAAATACGCTTTAAAGTAATTCTTTTCCAAAATTCAGGTCATAAGAATAAGTTTGAGTTGCCTTAAGTTTTGCTCGAATTCTGAAATATTATAAAAATTCCCGAAGTTGTATGAAGTCTCTCCCCACTGTCTATCCATGTCAGCAAACAATTTTGATGCTGAACTGATGCGTTTTTCAGAAACGTGCTACTTAACGTAGTCTTTATACATACCTGTACGTCTTCTCGTTTAATGTATAAAAATACTATCCAGTTTAATGGCAGTATTCATCGAAAATAATATTAAATATCGCTACAGAATTTGATTGGCTTATAAATATATATTTCATTTAAAGCAGCGGATGTTTTTCGATTTTGGAGGGCATGTGCCGAAAATTTTCTCTAGTATACTAATTTGAGGTAACTTATGGAAAATCCTAGGAATAAAACATTTCTATCTCCAGCGCGTGAGAGACAGTCTATTGGAAACTCTAAAGATATGCCGTTTTTTAATATTTTGTGATTTTGCTATTGAACAGAATTTTATGCATGCGACGTAAACACCAAAAACGGGATATTGAATAAATTAAACGCACGAAACGTTAATAATAAGAAGGAAAAAGTTTTTCTTATTATTATTAACGCCATCTTAGTAAGAAAACTGAAATGAGCTGAGAAAGACTTAAAAAACAAAAATGTATATCAGCCCTTAATGCTGCATCAGAAATTCTAAACGTACACTATTCTAAACGAATTCTAAACTTATGCTGCTGTTAATTTATTTTTATTTTTCTGTTGAATTGTATATTGCGTAAATGCAAAAAAAAAAGATGGAAAAGTATGGCAACTGGAGGTTTGAAATTAGATGGGCGCACAAACCTTAATGTTTTTTGATAGGCGACTTCGTTACTCCTGAGTTACAGAAAAGAGATCTTCAAGCCCTATTTTAGAGTTTTCAGTTGGTGTTCAGTTCATCTTCGTGGACGTTTACATGGAACTAATGTGGATGTCGTGCACTTAGAACTAATCTGGAAATGAAGAATGTGCACATAGAACGTCGTCGTGTGTATAGAACTTTCAGAAAAACTTCACAACTTCATGCACATTGAACTTTCAGAAAATCATCCATAAGACATCGTCCACATAGAACTAATTTGGTGTATAATTTTCTGAAAAGTAAGTATATTAAGGACATGAACTGGCTAGCCAAACATCGAAACCTATACCCTATAGATAACACATTGGATGTTCTTGAGAGACCAATTTTAAATTGTTCTTCCTCTGCCTTCCAGCGCAGTGGAACAAACTTTGCTATAAGAGTAGGACTATAGTCCTACTCTTATAGCAATATATAAGCGATACGTATCCTCATATCCAATATGAAGTCTGCTCAGAGTTGTACTACTTTTTGAATCATATCCCCTATTATCCTATATTGTTCGATCTTGCAATGTCTGTTTTAGAACTTGCTTCTCCCATAAGGATGCACGATCGTGCTCATATATCATGACTGTTATATTATTCTTTGCATTATATCAATACGTATAGTTTTTCAATTTTCTGTTTTGTCGAAACTGTTAACATTTTTCTTTTGTCCCAATTTCAAAGTCCATCAATGCTGGGAATAACTGACAAAATAAGAAAATTCTCTAATTTTTAACAGCGGTATATCTAGCAGATTCTTATCTTTCCCTTATACAGGCCCATCAGTCAGTTGTGGCAGAATACCCTAGGGTATCTGCCTGTGAGAAGGGATGTCTTCATGGAGAACTCTTTGATGATATCTGGCTCATATCCTCTTTAAATACGGGGAAAATTACGAAATCAACCATGAAGCATTGTGTCCCGATTTTCTCCTTTCCTTGCATTTGTTGCTTTTAGTGAAGACTCTAATTTTTTGGTTAGTTTTCAATTTGTTTTATTTTGTTTCTAAAGTAGATCAAAGAAATGTTGACCAGAATTGTTTTCTTTTTTATACAGAATGAGGACGACGCTCAAGAGAGAAGGCGTTCAATGGTACAGCAATTCGCCGCCTCTGGTGCAGTACCATGGATATCAGTAGGGGCCGAATACAGACCGATGAAGCATCGCTTTTACAGAGCAGTGCAGAAGGTTACACAGCAGCAGAGAGTCTTGAAAGTGAGCTATTAATTTTAAATTACTCATGCATAATGTATAATTCTTCAGTACAAATCTTTCTGCATTTCATTAGGTGTTGGTGAACGTTCGTCGGTATCTTAAATACTAGAGTTGAAACATTAATGGTTGCAGCTATCGATTTATAACTAATATAAAATTGTCACTTCTGTGAAACTTTTGCTGTCCTTCGACGAAGTTACTAGCACTGTGTATTACCCACTGCCAAAGATTGGAAATCGCAGTATTGTAGGCGCCACCATATGTGATCACGTTTATTTTGATTATTATTGAAGCATGTTTGATCATGATTATTTTCATAACATTAAGTAATGAGGCCGATTGCAACCAAAATGACAGGTGCACAACTACGTGTTATCACAGTCCTATATACAAATTTTCAACATTCTGAGGCTACTCGTTTATGAGTTATGCGATACACATACATATATACTTCTTAAGTACTGACGCCACGAAAAAATCTCTTCAGAATTCATTTTAAATCAGTTTAATAATTTTTTTGGGGGAAAAGAGTCCTTTATTCTGTCCTTGCGTAAATTGTATTCGATAGCTGTCAAAATAGATATTTTCGTTGAAATGTGATACCTGAAACTTTCGCGATTACAATACTTCCTCTTTACTTCGTACAAGGAAATAAAAAAACTGAATATTTGTGTGTATCAATAAAGTTCTCATTAAACCATTTAGCATGCAGTGATACGTGGTTTTGTATTTAAACCATTGAAAACAATCCTACAAAATTTACAAGTATTACGCAAATTCTTGTTGTCTAACGTCTCCAATAACCGTTATTCGGTGTGTTATTTTAACCAAAACCTTACAGATATTTGAATTCGTGTTCTTCACACTTCCGATTCTCTAAAGAATCGAATAATATCCTATTGATAGTAATACTGAAATCTTAAAATTCACAACATTAAGTACATGAAAAAGGACAACATGCCCGTTTTCCAAAATAAGTATTAATATTTAGTACTGCATTTTAAATTCCTTCACAAGTCGTTACCGTTCAGCTTTAAAACAATGAATAATTAAATATTTAATATTTATCAGCGTTTTCAAGTAGAGATAGTACTTTTGTGTGTTAATGTTTCGTGCAAACAGGCCAGAAGAGAAAAAAAAAATTTAAAAATTTGAACCATTTTTACAACTCCAGTAACGAGTTTCACGAGTGAAGATATTCGTAGCAAATCCGGGAATCTTCATCAGTTTAACAAATAATCATTCTTTAACATAAATCTTCATCAGTTTTCACAAATATAAATAGTATAGCCACTAAAAAGAGAGGTAGGCCAACATTTAACACTTTGTAAACCTTATTAACTGAATGCCTCCACGCTATACAAGTTTTTTTTTTTTTCTTTTCAACTTTTCTAAAATAATATTGCTAAGAATGGATGCTAGTCAGTTAAAATTCCATAGCATTCCGTAGGTCGTAACAAAAAATTTCCAAAGTACGTATCTTTGTGAATGTTTTGAAGTTGATATTTTTCAGACATAGTTTTTGTAGGAATTAGAAATTATATTTTAAGGTACAATAATCGTTAAGCAGATGCTAAACAAATGATATGCATATTTCAGTATAAGTGAGGATTTGGAAATGTAAGTTTAGATTATTATTAATATAGTCAAACCTCGTTATAGCAAACTTCGCTCATAACGAACTCCCGGATATAACGAACGAAATTTTCGGTCCATTCCAGTTTCCCACAGACTGTTATTTTATACAGTTATAGTGAACTTCAAAATGTATAAAAATCAGATATAAGGAGCTTTGTGGATATCGTGAACTGAAATGGTTTTGTATTTTTCAGAATTTCTGTAATTTTCAATTAAATAAGGACCTGACTTTTAAATTCGCCTTGCTTAGGCTATTAGAAGAAAGAAAAAAAAAACACATTTATGTTAATATTCTTTCGCATTCGCCCCCACTTTTCTCTATGTCCTAAGAAATAGGCTATATGAGAAAAATGTAGCACGTAATTCTTGGAAAATCATGAAGCGCAAGAAATATACCTTAGAACAGTGGCCGAACTCAAATTACAAGCGGGTTGAATGTTCAATCTGAAGTCAGCTAATGGGCCAGAAAATGTTTTTAACGAAATAAAATTCTTCTACTGAATATTTATCAGAACATACATAAACAATAATAACAATAACAAAAAAACATTCAATTTATATTTATTTTCCATGTGAAACCAAAAAGTTGGAATCTGCAATATATTTCTGTTGCTTATATTTTGAAATTCATATACACCGATAGATAAATATTAATTCTTAAACTGACATTTATTTTAGAGAATTCCAGTACCTTAATTTAGCCACTAAATAACTTTTTTACTTTAACCGAAATAACGGAAATTTCAGAATACTGAACTGCCACCAGTTGTCGGCTGGCAAACGAAATTAAACTAAATTTAATTTATTCAGTTTTATAACTACATTACCCTACTCACATGCAGCCCACCAGCGGCCGAGCGATAAAAGTCGCTGAACACAGGTAGTACGGTCCGAGGTTCGAATCCCACAAACGGGCTGGCTGCATGGAGGTTTACGTAGTTTTCTCCTTGTGTAACGTTTATACGAGCCGTTTTGCTTAGAAAGTCCTCTACGAATGCATTTCTTCTCTTAGGCAGATAGCCCTAGTGTGCTTTGCCGTAATTAAATAAATCAAATCAAACCAACTTTAGTCACATGACCTGGTTTAAAAGCGCAGAACTCCAACCTGTTCAGTCTTTTTTTTTTAAACAGCAGTCGCTCGCATAAGCTCAGTCAACATCTATGTCTCTAAAACTATAAGCCTTGTATTCGCAACAAATGCATAATTAAAATATATTGGCGGGCCGCATAAAATTGCTTCGAAGGACGCGACTTTGATATCACTGCCTTAGTAGATGCTATTGTGGAATAAATCGAGCCAGAGGATTATTGATCTATTGAAACGGAGAGCTTGAATCGATTTTTTGATTCCATTCCAGTTCTTTGAGTTATCCGGTTCGAGGATGATGCTTGTTCATTATCGTAAGCGCATATTTTAGATGGAAATACGTAGTTGCAAAGAAAGGGTCTAAAACATGACTAGGTAATTTTTGATGTAAAATTATTTAAAAACTAGAAAAAGAAATGTAGTAATTGCAGATAATGGTTTGAATTAATTTTTTATATATTTTTATTTAAACTTGCTCTTGCACCTTTGCGGAGATATATCAATGCTAACACTTCTTTCTCTGTGGTTAGCTATCATTTTTTACACTATATAAGAACATAGATGTTATATGTTTAGGTATCAGTTACATTTTTTTATGAATGAGTATACACTATTTCTGTTTGCTCCATTTAGCTTCGAATACTTCGCCATAATTAGTCGACTAATGTTTTTAATTTTCTATTAAATGCTCACGGTTAGTAATGCAATTTCTGTCGCATTTTTCCCTTTGTTGAAGCTTTGAATAAAATACTTTAACGAGAGGTGAAACTATGGTAGTCTTATGCTAAGCGAACAGAAATTGAGGTTAAAGTCACGTATTTAACTCCTCTTCTCCGCGAATCTTTACAACCACCACAAAACGATCATTTGATGCACCCTGGAGCACGCAATCGTTTAGCTGTTATGTGCGTTTCCTCATCTTCCCTCTCCCCTCTCTTCCAGGCTCTTTCACCGGTCGACAGCGCCCCCTGCGCTCCAGAGGATGCGCATCCACCAACTCCGAGCGACGGCCTCCCTGCCGTGGCCAGCCCGGCCTTCTTCCACCAGCAGCTCCTGGGTTTGCTTCAGAAGAAACTCCGACGGGGTTCTTTCAGAAGGAGCCTCAAAATGGGCAACAGGGGAAGCAGCAATGCCCCCAGCCCGGACAAGAAGCCGTCACCCGATGCCGGACAATCCGGTCAGTCCTCAATCCTTTTTTCTAATTTCTTTACAGGATGCTCGGGAGGCGGATCTGGACGTCAAAGAGGACATCTTTGATCCTTTACTCCCAATTATCAACAAAGTGACGGTATTTATGTGAAATTTTAACATATTCCAACTGTTGCTTGATCGGTTAAAGGGACTCTTAAATAGAAACTCTCATGGAGTTCCGTTAGCTAAATCCGTGATAAGAGTGGTTGTTGACATCAGTATTAGGCTTAGTTCTGAGTTAAAATTATGTCAACAAAGCAATCAGAGGAAGCAGTGGGTGAATTTTCTGACATGACAGCAATTAAGCATTAAAAATATTTTAATATAGCATGGATTTCTGGAAGCCAAAAGGAATCTTGAGTTGTGAATAGGTTTCATTTTAAAATTTAAACAGCGTTTCAGTCAGTGGAACGATGTCGTAGGTAAGAGATGTAGGTGCTCTGTTGAGGTGCGCATTTTTATTGACCGTGAAAAAGGAATACGTGGCTTGCGTCCAGAACAATTTCAAATCCTAGAGATATTAATGATGCCAAAACCACTGCATTTGTTGACCATTCTAGTAAATTGAAATTAATTTCGGTAATAGAATCAGAATTCTAAAATATAAAATATTTAATTCTCATATTTAAAAATATAATAACTTTTATGAGACGATTCATGTATTACGAAATTCCAAAAAGAAAATTATAGTCTAAAATTAAGGTTTATTTGCTATTTTCTGCCTTTTTCTATTTAAAACTGAGCTTTTCGTTACACTATTATTCCGTGTTTATAATATAATATTTTCATTCAAAATTACAGTTTACAAAAATAACTAAATAAGGGTAGTAATTTAATACAGCTAATATATTCTGTATTATCAATACATTTCATTTGGAGATAATTCTCTTTCAAATCGTAGCAATATTATTGTAATAAATACGGCTAATAGAAATAATTAAACACATCTAATATATTTTATATTAATAACATAATATTAATAATTTATTATATTATTATGCTATTATCAAACCAGTATTGACTGATACTGTAACATTAGCAGCAGTACTTATTGAAAGTAGATGCGACTAATTTAAATGAAATAACCAATATTTTATTACTTGTTTATTAGTAGATTTATAGCATACTATTATATACATTTGAATAGAGTTAATACATTCCAGGCTTATAATATGCTGCTTTGTATAAGAATAATTCTTAATCAAATACTGAGTAAGGAGATTTTGAAGGTAGGAAAGCAGAATTAGTGAAGGGATTTGGAAGTGATACTTTCAACACGCTGTATTTTTTGTAATAAAAATACGATGTTCATAATTTTTTTTATAGAAGTGGTTATTAATAATCATTTAGATTTCAATTGTTTCAAGTTTATCTCTTTGAAATCCTTTTCACATACATTTGGGTATATTTTCCAAATAAGTTCTCAAATGAATATTACAGTCACAAATCTAAACGGTGCATACTTTTACTTCTTATTTTACTTTGAAAATTGAGATTCAGTATTTAAGGAATTTATTACAGCAATTTCTCGTTAGAATTATAAAAAGCACTGTAAACATAACGTGTCTCTAATTTCAAACTCATTTCCTGATTGGCTACGTGCCAATTTAAATCCTATTAATCTGAGTGTTTAGAATGAATTTCATACTCCGATATTTATTTCCCCATATTAGTTGATTATATTTCAGTCATTTCTTTGAAATTATATTAGAATTATATTTCAATATATTTTAATTCAGTGATTATTTTTAAATCACTAAATTTAATATTGCATGATCAGAAAACGTTTCTTAAGTATCATAGCAATAGAAACTTGACTTTAAAAATGAAGCTCTTTGTTTTATTCATAGCAATAATTTTCTGTATAAACCTTCGTTATAGTTAACCAATTACCAGTTTTGCATTATGTTGCATTTCAGACGACATGTAGTTTATATTTTAGACGTATTTTCATTTCATTTTATTTACTTAATGTTTTTTGGCCACTAGTTACTATTCTTGATTTTGTTTCTTAGATGTGGCAACAGAACAATTTATAGAATTATCAAAAAACGTATGTACTAGGTAGCAAGTAGGCTTATTAAAAGAATTTTTGTTATTTGCACGAAAGATGCATTTATTTAAGATTCAAATCTATTTTCATCGAGAAATGAATACTTTAGAATATGATTATTAGTTTCTAGATTTCGTGATACGCTGGTAGCATAATAGTTTATTTTGAAGCATAAGCGAACATATTAGATATTAAGTAATTTACATTGCTTTTAAGGTATTTCTGGTTTCTCTAGAATGCTTATGTTAAACGTGTTCATGCGAAAATACTGTAAATTGCATATTTTGTAAATTATCAACAATTAGTGAATAATTTTGAAATTATAATATTAATATATATATATATATAGTTCAGTTTGAAATTTTCGTCTCTCGTTATATGATTTTTGGAAACATTACGATCAGTAATTTCAGAGTTTTGTAGAAATACTTTGTTTTCAAAATCTGAAGCAACGCGCATAAGTACTTTCTTTTTATGCAGATATTATAGTTTAAAAAATGAAAAAAAATGTTTGTTGTTTCTAAGCCTATTCGGGAAATAATTCCAAACACTGTTTAAAACGTAATGAAAAGTGTATTATGTTACTTTCAAAGGTGTTTGAATCAACGGGAAGAAAAAAGCTAGTGAATTAAATAAGCCTTTTTATTTGAATTCACGGCTTAAATATGTAAAAAGAAAGCGTTAAATTGTTAATGAATGTTAATATAAGATCCCGTATTTATTTCAGTTGTATACGATGTCATTCAAAATGGATTATAATTTCTCTTTATGACATTTTGTTTTTGGAAGCATAATTGTTTAAAAGGAATAAAATATTTGACAATTTTCTTTACATACTGAGAAAAAACACCAATATATAAACTACTGGAAATGAATTAAAAGGAAACAAATATGAAAATAGATGACAATGCGACTGATAGATTCGTTGTTTCATGTAAACTGTCAATATTTATATAGAATACGTATCCATTGCGGCTTGTTTTTTAAGGTTTAATGATTTAATTTATTATTTCGAAATCCAAGATGTTAGAACCATCTTTCTGTAACTATTTTGCCGTTTTCTTTGTTTAATCATATGACGACTGTAGACGTCAGTAGGAAATGACAAGGCAATTCAAAGAAAGAAGAACCGGATTTTAAATTTATATATCTTTTAAAAAATAGAAAAGTATAATTTGTTATATTCATTCTTTATTGATGATATGTACTTTGGAAAAGGAACACTAATATAAAAGATGAGCAATACATCTGCATTTATATTCAGAATTATTTTTAAATGGAATTGTATAAATTTATGCGGAGTGATAACACTTTTCATGCATAACACCATTACATATAAATGCACAGGTAAACGCTGAAGAGCACTTCATAATGATATAAGTCTGTAGCATGTTCAGAAAAAAAAGCTCAGAAAAATCTTAAGACTTATGAATTGAATATGAAATATGATCTCTCTGGATTTGTTACACACAGATCACGACATGTTTCAGTGCTCGCAATAACGTGTTTAACCATAGTTTGGGGAATTACGTTCTTCCTCCAGCTACGCGGTTTTCAGGGCATTTACTCCTCCAGGTGAAGCTTATCTTCGTGCATTTGCTTTCCCACGATAGCTTCGCATGTTCTCTATAGGTTAAGATCAGGAGATTTTGCTGGTCACAATATTCGCTCAGTATGTTCACATTCAAGAAATTCGTCAAAGAGGTTTTCTAAATGTGGACTAGCAAAATAGTTCATAAATAAAAATTCAAATCCATATGCAGCTTTGAAAAGTCTTACACGAGGTGCTAAGACCTCTGGTTGGTCTCATCTCTGGTCACATCTCTGGTCTGGTCTCTCATCCACTGTTAAAAACGTCTAGATGACCGTGCCCATCGATCAGTAATCGTCCCCATACCATCAAATCTGCGTTACCCAAACTGTGACGTTCTATAATGTTCAAAAGAAGATTTCGCATTAGCGTTTCCCCAGAAGTAAACGCATTTAGAATCCTTTGTAAAATAAGCCTCGAATTATCAGTAAATGTCTCAACTGATACCTCTTTTGTTGCAAGACATGCTCTTGGCTTTCTGTCATAGTGGCCTTTTTCATTAAGCCTTATTTGCACAGTTGCTGTGAAACAATTCCATTGGCGTCTGCAAGCTTCGAACTAACTTCCTGTTAATTGATCTTGAGTAGTAGTTCACTAACCTGTCCAGGCCTCCTCACAGCAATTCCAGAATTCTAGAAAATACTCACATATTTCCTGACCTCCATTATTGTCTGCTCAAATTTAGAACGCCAATGATTTATCACATAAGATTTTTCTTTGTAGAGTCGTTAAGGATTTTTTATGCTGGAGAAGTGAAAAATGAGCAATGCCCTCACCGGGACTTGAACCTGGACCTCCGAATACGCGCCGAGTGTGCTACCGTTACACTACGAAGGCATGCAGAAAGGAGGGAGAATATATCTTGTATCTTAGTGATACTTCAAAACATAACAAATCATTTTGAGTCTTTATCCACTAAAATCAAATATTGCAGAAATTCATTCAGATACGTAAAGCCTTGATTTGCATATTGAAATATTTAATCACTTTTGATTGAATATAATGCTAATTAAACTTTCCCACATTCCCTGAAAAAATGGATTACATCGATTGGATGTTTCATGGAACATCATTAGTTTTCGATATGCAAAGATGAAATTGGACCATGAGGGTACTTTTAAGGCGGCAAATATGCCACAATACCTTTAATGTCTGTTCAGTATGTTCTTTTCCTTATTCTGGCGTTTCCACGGGAATTAAGAGATTGAATAAGAAACAGAGTATGATTAGTATCATATTAAAATATTTCTCTACAGAAAATGGTTCAGCATGTAATGTCTTACAATGGGACAGATCTCAGTAATTTTTTATATTTAATGCATTTTATTATAATATTTAAAACCTGTCTCGTTAAGCATATTACGCATTTTAAAGGAATACTATGAAAATGTTTAAATCTGAAAAGATAAAGTATGCACAAATATTTTATAGTCTTCTATAATCTCAAATTTTTTTGTAATAAATGTTTATATCTATACTCAGATAAATCGTCCAATGAAGCTTCTAAGAGTGCCAAAGAAGTTCCAAAAATCCCCAAACTCTTGAAACCGGATGTTTCGCAGACCAGGTTACCATCTCCATCGCCACCTAAAGGTAAGTTAGTCTCTATATTGAGTTGCTCAGAATGTGTTTTAAAAATTTCAGTCTTTACTAAGCATTCAGTGTTTAAAAAGTGCATTTAAGAATACGTATTAAACGCTAAGAGATATGTTTGTAATAAATGCTAAAGAAAACTGTTTTCTATTTTTTTAAGCTTATTAGTCATTATTTAAGTATAGGACCTTCCAAAAGTATTGAATATTTTGTCAAAAATCCATACTTCGAATTTAAGAAATTCATAGCAGAAATCTGATTTTTAAGATTCGAATTCATATTTTATTGGCCGAGGAAAAAACAGTAACAAAGCTGGAATTGTATAAAATTCGCATAATCTTGTAACTAACAGCGGTGACAAAAAGGAATAAGGCGTAAAATATTATTAATTAAGGTAAAAAAAATAGAATATTTTTCTTGGTGAGAATTTTTTTGCACCGCTGAGTGGGTTGCGGAACATGAGAACTTTAGGATTATCTTTTAGGGGATTATCTTTTAATTCACGAATAACCAAATTGTCCCTCGAGTGCTTTATAGCATAACTAAACAAATCAAACCAAAGATAATTTTCCCTAAATACGGAATATATCCGCGAGTTTCAAATATTTCCTATTAATTTTTTAGTTCGTTTTTGAATTGCTAGGTTTTTTTCATATTTAATTCATTTTAATCGCACTTCCATTTTTAAAATCATTTAAATATCTTTAATACAAATAAATGCCCACTAGAGTATCTCAGTTCCTGAATCTAATCCATAATACTGAATTTCATTTTCTTCCTGTTAATTTTGAAAGACTACTGCAATGTTTAAGTCAAACAGATGAACAAATTGGAATTTTTAAAGTATTGTTTCCCAGATTTGCACAAGACTGTCGCCCACTGGCTTTTAATGCAGACAAATAGTTTCGAAATAAAAAATGTGCCCATATATTGAAACAAATCTATCCATGTGCATTATATACATATTTTTAAGAAATTATAATTTAAAAAATACAAAATTTTCTATATTAAAAGGATTGTTCCAGCCTAGGAAAAAATGCTTAGTGTAAATTGGTGTTATATTGCTGTATATTGGTAGTGTTTTAATATTGGTATGAAATTATTACATTATTAGATTAAATATTAAAGTTGAAAAAAGCGTTTTCCTAAAACGTTAATTAGGAACGTGTAATAAAAGTGTGTAAACATATATATGGGAGAAACAAATAAAAACAACCCCCTTTGCTTAATGCTTTTAATATAACTTTTCAAGGGGTTAGTATTTAAAACATTAAACTCGGATGATTAATGAGTGCCGAACACTCGTTTTGTTACTGACATTATGAGACTCAAATCGCCGCTATCTAATTGTCCAGAAATGTTAAATAATATTTCGGATAATCTCTTAATCATCTATATACATATACATACATGGCCCACCAGCGGCCGAGCGGTAACGTCGCTGAACACTGGCAGTTCGGTCCGAGGTTCGAATCTCGCGAACGGGCTGGCTGCATGGGCGTTTTCGTGGTTTTCCCCATGTGTAACGTGTATACGAGCCAGTTTCCCTTAGAAAGTCCTCCACGAAAGTATCCATCCCCCTATGCAGATAGCCCTAGTGTGCTTTGCCATAATTAAATACACCAGCACCACACCACCCGGGGAATGGGCCGGCTGCATAAGCGTTTTCGTGATTTTCTTCATATGTAACGTGTATACGAGCCAGTTTCGCTTGAAAAGTCTCCTCGAAGGCAACCTTCCTCTCAGGCAGATTGCTGTCGTGTGCTTTGTCATAATTAAATAAACCAAACCAAAGCAGTCGCGCAGACGTCTTGAAATCTCACCGTTCGTTCTGAAAATTAAACAGTACTGAATTATAGAGTCCTATTCATGGATCCTTTAAGTCTTTCAGACTCACGGCTTACGAGCAAATTTTCAGCCCGTCTGAAATATTACAACAAAATATTAAGGAGGTTTTTAAATAACTTTTATTAGTTAATCTCAAAATTAAAAAGAAGCCCCTCCCCTTATGAGACACAAAATGCTTCCACCTATGCGCAGTAAAATAATAATGTTGAACTTAAAAGGTATCGCACTCGCAGACCACATACATTTGACCTGCTGAAACAGGTTCCAATCTTATGGCGCGGTTTAAGGTTGGCTAGAACTGTGGCTAATGCCGGACTATTAATGGGCAAACATTGCAAACGCCGCTGTCAAAAGCTCTGCAAATACAAAACCTTCCCTTTAATTTTTTTTCAATTTAATTTGCATCCTGGTGAGACCTAACGGGCAGAAAAAGCTGTAGTAAAGGTTCGAATCATAAAAAATGATTAAATAATATAAAAACCTATACATTAAGCCGAAATTTTGAACAACTTAGCATACTTTTGTAATACCAAGTAAAGTTTTGTCCAAGTCATTAAACAAATGTCTAATTTGAAGTAATCTTTAAATCCTCAAAATGGTTTTTGAAGTAATTATAAAACTTATGAGTTTACACATAAAAATCTAGCTTTTCAGAAAAAAATTTCATTGTTGTACATACAGCTGAAACCTTCTTGATTTTAAGATAAAAATTCAAAAATATTAAATAAACTAAAGAGTTACAAGATACAAAGTACAATTACTTAAATATCATCTACTGTGCCAGAATTTTCTATGCTAAAGAAAATAATAAGACTTTTATTTTACGACATAGCTAGTTATAGGTTCTGAAACAGATAATAAAGTTTCCTTCGAATGAATGAATACATAAAACCACCCTGTTGTTAACTTAGACAATATATGGGAGAAACAAATAAAAACAACCCCCTTTGCTTAATGCTTTTAACATAACTTTTCAAGGGGTTAGTATTTAAAACATTAAACTCGGATGATTAATGTCATTTACGTCATTCTTTCTTGACTTGGAAACCAGCTTATTAGAGTGTCACCTTTATGACTTTCGTCTAAAAGACGATGGACATAAAATTGGTCATTTTACGACTAAGTGACAGAAAGGTGATATATACGTATTCCTCGACAGTGGGGGTGGTAAAATTTGAAAATCAAATCCACATTGGTATTCCGAATTCGAAATGAGGTTCTAAGAATCTTGTTGGAATAAAATTTAACTGCGTAAGATTTTGTAACTCGGTGTAGGATTATTTTCCGTGAAAAACGATTCTTCTGCTTCGTTTTTCGTCATTGGAATTTTTAAGAAATTTATAGAAGAGATTCGGATCACTTGATTACTGACCAAAATGTCAGGTCAAGGTCAATTAGAAAAATTTTTAATTCTGTAACTTATTTAATGTTTATATTTATGCTAAACCTAGCAACACATTTTGATATAATTGATTGTAATGTGCATTTAAAGCCATAGATATTATACCATATTTCCTTGGGTATCTTTCTTTATCGTTTTACAGCTGGGTTCTGAAAATTTTAAAAATATCCCCATATTCTTCCCCTTCGTCTATTATACCAACATTTTCCTTCGAGACCTAATTTATTGGTAAATTATATTCCCTTGATTATTTTTAATTTTATTCGGTGTATTCAGTTTATATTTGCATTTTTGTATTAGCATTTCATCCATTTTATTTTCCCTTGTATTTACTATTTCAAGTTCATTTTATTCAGATTCTTCGTTAAGCCAACTAGATGCGGCTGATGTTCTCATACCTAAAAAACTCTTTAAACATAAGATTAGACCTTACTTCTATTATTTACATTCCAGCTTATTATAGCCTTTAGTGTTGATGTGTTCAATCTTCGGAAATCTGGGTTTTTTGTTCGCACCTTTCTACTTCGTTTCTCTGGTGTCCCTTTTGGGAACTGTGGTCAAGACTCATTCATATGGCATGTCCCTAAAGCCCTTCTTAAAAATTACCTAATAACTGTACAACTGAGCAGGACATGTCACGCCTGGGCTCATTTGTCATCCGATACTGCCATAATATCCGGCAGATATTGTTACGTTCATATTATTTATTGAAATGTGCTTTTTATTTTTAAAACAAATATTATATGCAAGCCATGAAAGCTGAGCATACAGAAAGGTGTAATGTGCATTTTCGTTTATATAACTTTGAATGAAAAATACTGAATCCTAAGTTTATTTTGAAAAATACTATGAAAGGGCTTTAAACAAAATGCAACTTTCTAGAATCAAGAAATATAACGAAATATAATTTTCTAAAATAAAACTACATATTTTTAGAACATATTTTTAGAAGGACTAGTTCAGAGCCCCAAATTCGTAAACTGCACCCTTGCTTTTTTTTATACAGAAGAAACATCTAATTTAATATTTGGGAGTGTTTCTAAGCCACAGGTTCTCGACCAGGTGGAAATTTCATACTTTCAGAGGGGGAATGCGATCAGCCTTTTAACCCTTTGCGGCACAGTGTGCCCGATCCAGAAGACACACCTAAAAATTTCCTTCTGTACGCAAAGAAAAATTGAATGAAAAAGGATTTATAGGTTACTCTGAGCCTTCTTTATTAATAGTAGATGGCAGCTCAACACAAACCAGTCCATATATTTTAGCCATGTTTAGTTTTTTTAAGAACCTCATTTTTCAAAGAAATCTTCCAGATTTTTTTAGGGTATAAAAGGAATTGTTTGAAAAGAAGTTTCTATGTTATTTTTTGACTGTATGCTAATTGCCTTATTCTATATTAGTTTTAAATTTTTTACCTTGAAATATTGCCTAAAATCAAACGGCGAATCTTAGATGTGTCCAGGATGGACTCACCGATCATTTAGGACAACTGAGAGTCTGTATTCTTTATTTCTCCGCATCTCGTCGATCAGTTCATTGACAAAAATGCTCGTTTCAGCACTCTTTTCGAAGCTCTATTCAATCAGTGTGCCACCTCGGGCACACCCACAGAATTCAAACGATAAGTGCTATCTTCACAAAATTTTACTTGTGTGCTCCTCTAGTCCTAATTAGACTGCCTACCTTTTTTTTCCATCAAAATTCCAATCTTAAAAGGTAGCGTGCCGGAAAGGGTTAATTACCTGTTAGT